GAGATCAGCAGCCTAAATCCATGAGCAACCCAATGAGAGAAAGATTTACAGTCCTGGAAACTCAAAGGAGCAGCTCCGCTCCGTTCTTTAGGATACTGTGAGTCGTCAGTATTGACTGGATGGTCATGTTTTTGTTTTGTTTTCTTCAATTTTATTTTCAATACCTGACTAGCAAATGGACAATGTAGCACAAAGAGACTTCTGAGAATAAAAAATTCCTAGGAAAACACTGAGTGTTTTCTGGCCACCACAGATGTGAAAGTGTTATATGGACTCGATTAATGGTATCTTCCCTAGGAACCTCTGCCTTCCCTAGGAACCAAAGCCATGACTCAGTGATAAACCATATCAGCAACTACTTCACTTCAGTAAATAGATTTATGGAAATAAACCAATTATCCACAGGCTCTTTCTCTCCCTTAGAAATCCTTACCAAACAATAAATTCATTGTTTTTCTCTGAAATACTGACTCAGTGGAGGTTTGCTTGGCAGCTTATGTTTAGCTTCTTCATAAAGCCAAACTCTTTGCTGTGGAGATGATGCCAATTCTGGGTGACCTTAACTGACAGAGCAGAACTGCCAGAGCAGGCCAACGCTCCACCACGGTGTCACCAGGACTCCTTTAGATTTCTGGTCCTCTTTTTCTTTGTCTTCATTTCTCAAAAATTGTCACTATCTTTTTAGTATCCTTGCATCTGTACACTCTTTCAGTATCCTGGTATACAATCCTCTCCTGGGAATGGAGTCTTGCACATTTCACTTTCAATTTTCTTAACTTAATTCTAGTACTCTCCGTTATCATCCTTTTCAGACTGTCTCTTGAATAAATGAGGACAGAGATTGCTCAATATAGGCTAATTATATCATTTAACCTTTCAAAAGATCAGAAGAGAGGGAGAATTAAAGGGAATATTGCGTTTATCAAGTGCCAGACACTCTACTATAACCTTTAGCTGTTTTAAAATAGTGAAATTTTTTTTCTGTAATGACTGATCTCCAATTAAAATAATCTGAATATGACCGTTTTTCATGTCAAAGAACATTTGGTCTTTATCTTTTTAATACCTCATGAGCTACCTCAATTCTTGAAATATGTGCAAAGTTATTGCCCATATGAATAACTAATTTGTATGAATAGGTTAATTAGTGGTAACTAAATGGATTAATGACTGGTAATAGCCTTGACTTCCGTGCACTATTTTAAGTACTTACAAAGGGTAGTTTTGAATAATTCATGAGTAATTAAGCCAGAAAGAAGCATTACCCAAAAAGAGACAATACTTGTGGTGGTTAGAATTTATGTCAACTTATAGCTGGTTGAAAATGTAGGGGTGAAGCCTAAACTATTAATCAGATCACAGCCTAATGATGCCTACTGGGGATTGTGTACTTTTAATAGGAGAGACACTGGGAACTTCTCCCCCTTGTATTTTTATCTTCCTGCATGCTTAGATTCTGTGTCTGCCAGCAAGAGTGAACACCATGTGAGCCACACACCATGGGAACTGTTGGTTCCCACTGACCTTGGGTTCACCAGACTCTGTACCAGTGGCCTGTGATCTCTCCACTTCCCACTTCACCTTTCCACCACATGAGTCGGAAGAGGGTTCTAGCTAGTGCTGGACCCATGAACTTTAGTTGGAGGGGCTGGAATGCCTTCCTGCTATAAAGTTCTTTCTTATGGCTACATGGATGTCACTGGTTTTATTTCTTTAGACAACCTAGCTAATGTAATAACTGTAGCTATTTATCATGTCTGGAATAAATCTTAGGAGCCCTGGTGGTATAGTGTCATGCATTGGGCTGCTATTTGAAATGTTGGCAGCTTACCACCAGCAGCTGTGGGGGAGAAAGACTGGGCTTGCTACTGCTCTATACATCGACCCTAGGGACATGGTTTTGCTTTTTTTGTTGGGAATAAATCATGGAGAGAGTGCAGTTTAATGCCGTCCTTCTTACAAAAGACTATTAAAACTTAAAAATAAAGGAAGTAATTTTAAAGAAAGGTTTACATCAATGACAGGTAAATGGAATGTTGTTAAACTCAAAAACCAAATTCACTATCATGGAGTCAATTTTGACTCCTGGTGACCTAATAAGACAGTGTAGATCTCCCCTATGGGTTTCTGAGACTGCAAATCTTTATGGAATTAGAAAGCCCTGTCTTTCTCCCATAGAATGGCTGTTAGTTTCAAACTGCTGACCTTGAGGTGTTCTAGAATTCCTAATCTTCATAAAGTTACCCAGAATTTGTTATGGTCCTGTGGTAGTTACATCATCTCCTGTCAACTTGTAAAGGAGTGGAGTCTAGCCTGTCAATCAGGCTGGAGCTTGATGACCTCGTTTGAAGGCTTGGCAGACATAAATAGCTCACTGGAGACCAGATACACTCTTTATCCTTGTGAGACATTCCTGCTGACAAGGTACATGGAGCTACACTGATGGAACCAGAGCTCTGGAGCTGGAGGAGCTACATGGAGACCCATGCCAGTGCTGAGATGCTTCCACTGCCACTGGATCCACAAGATTTTTCACCCACTGGCCTGTGATCTTCCTATATTTGGTGTCATTGTATATGTTGCATGTGTCTGAAGAGGAATTTATAGACTGATATCGGAAACATGGGCTAATATTGGATTTTTGGACTTGATCTGGACCGGGCTGGGATGTTTTCTTTTTAATATACAATCTCTATTTTATATAAAGCTCTCTCCAATATATGTATAAGCATCTATGAATTTATTTCTCTATTCATCATGGACTAGCACAGGTCCACACAGTCAAATACCTTGGTATCATGAATAAAACACAGGTAAATATCCTTGGGTGTTCTCGGCTTTCTGGCAAGATCCATGTGACACTGGCAATGATATCCCCTTTGAATCAGGCTTGGAATTCTGTCAAGTCTCCCTGTACTTGACAGAAATACTGCTGCAAACAAATTATCTTCAACAAAATTTTCCTTGCATGTGATATTGATGATATTGTTCAAGAAGTGTGGACCTCAGAGAGGTCATTGACAGTTGTCTTCCAAATTTCTTGAAATAGATTAAGTGAACGCCACCAGTGCTGCATAGTTTGTTGAAACATTTTGATTAATGTTCTTCCAATTTCAGAAGCCTTGGGGACTGAATAATATGGTGAGAGGATACAACCGTAACCTATACCTTTTGTGATTTTAAACCATTCAGTATTCCCATGTTTGAGTTGCACAGCTGCCTCTTGATCCAAGGACAAGTTTCTAAGGAGCACAATGAAGTGTTCTGGAATTTTCATATTTCTGAAGGCTATCCATAGTTTGTTATGATCCACAGAACTGAATAGTCAAGTTATTGCATAGTCAATAAAGCACAAGTAAGTGTCTTTCTGGTGTTCTCTGCTTTGATCCAAGTTCATTCTGACATCAGCAAGGATATCCCTTGTTCCATGTCTTCTTCTGAATCCAGCCTGATTTCTGGTGGCTCTGTGTAATATACTGTTGAAACCATTGTTGGATGACCTTCAGCAAAATTTTACTTGCATGTGATTTTTAACGATATTGTTCTACAATTTGAGCATTCTGTTGGGCATCTTTTGTTGGAATAGGTAAACATATGGATCTGTACCAGTCAGTTGGCCATGTCGCTGTCTTCCAAATTTCTAGGCATAGGTAAGTGAATGCTTTCAGTGCTTCATCAGCTTGTTGAAACATTTCAATCTGCATTCAATCAACTCCCGAAGCCTTGCTTTTGGCTAATGTTTTCAGTGCAGCTTGAACTTTTTCCTGCAGTATCCTTGGTTCTTGCTCATATGCTACTTCCTGAAATAGTGGAATTCTGACTTGTTAATTTGGGTACAGTGACTCTGAGTAAGCTTTCCATCTCCTTTTGATGCTTCCTGAGTCAATATTTTGCCCATAGAATCTTTGAACATTGCAACTCAAGGCTTGACTTTTTTTTGAGTTCTTTCTGTTTCAGATATGCCAAGTGTGTTCTTAGTTTTTGGCTTCGACCTAGAAGTTTTTGCACATCTCATTATAGTAATTTACTTTGTCTTCTTGAGAAACTCTTTGGAACTTTTTGTTCGGCTCTCTGATGTCACCTTTTCTTCCCTTCGTGATAGTTACCAGTAGATTCAGAACTAGTTTCAGAGTTCCGGACATCCTCGTTGATCTTTTATTTCTTTACTGTCTTTTTAATAACCTTTGCTTTCTTCACATATGATTTTCCTGATGTCTTCCTACAGCTCATTATTGTGCAATGCAGCAAGTTTTTTGTTGAGACATTCTTGAAATTTGGGTGGGAGAGATTGTTTTAGGCAGGATTCTCTAGTGAAAAAAAAACCAGGACACTTATGATTACATATATATACACACACATATATTTGTATATATGTATATATACATGTATATATGTATATATGTATACATGTATAGATATGTATAGATATATATTTATATAAATAAAGGAGGAAGGAATACAACAGCTAGAAGTACACCGGGCTCAGTCCAATGCAGTTTTGTGGGACACTTCATATAGTGAAGGTCCTTCCAACTCACACTGCCTGCTGGTCCGAGGTCAAGGAATCAGAAAGCAAAGTGGCGGTTGGGTTGGGAGGTGCAGAGTTGGCCTGCAGGCAAGGCAAGCAGAGGCAGCCTGCAGGTAGCAGACACTGAAGGGTGGGGCAGCAACAGCAGGAAGATGAGATGTCCAGGCGAGGTGTGAGGTGTAGCATTGCAGAGCCCAGTAGTGCAGCAGCATAACAAAGCAGGTCACGATGGAGCCTCAAGACATAGCAATGCACAGCAAGGCATGGTGACACGATTCACCACAATCCATGGTTGGCTAGGCCAACAGGTAGTGCAGAGAAGGTAACTCAGGCAGCAGCATGTTGGTCTGATCACTAAGGAGAAAGAGGAGGAGGGCAGCCAGCTGGACACAGACTACAGGGACGGACATACAGCGGGACAGGGACACACCGACTTGAGGGGAACAGAACTCGAAGGACATGGGGAGGGGCCTTTTGGCATGCTGCACAGGAATCACGTGAGCTGTGGGGGTTGGCTTAGCAGACCCCGGGGTCAGTTTGTCTTCCACACTTTGTTAAGCAGCTTCACGACCTCGTCATAAATGATAAACACGATGGCCACATCGAGGCAGATGCGCCCCTTGTGGATGGTGCCCTTGTGGAACGCCTTGAGCCCCTCATTCCTCAGGATTTGCAGACCACGGCCCAAGGAGTTCCGATACTTATGTGCCTCCAAGCCCTGCATCCTGGTCTTGATCACATCCAGTGGAGTGTTCCCGAAAACACTGGCAGCACCCGCAATTGCTCCAAAGACCCCCGTGATCAGGGGATTCATGGGCTTGTTGGGGTTGTCCCCTCGGTACCAGTTCCGAAGGGAAGTCATGACGAAGAAGCGGATGGCCTGGTTGGATCCCTGCTTCAGCACTGTGGCCCTGAGGCCCTGGTATGTGCCCTGTAGACCTTGCTCCCTCACGATCACAATTTTTGTATTCCAATCATCAATAATTGTCAAAGCATTTTGATTGCATATCTCAGTCACCCTCCAATCAAGCTGTGATCTGATTGACAGGCTAACCTCTGCCCACATGTTCCTATGGGAGCCATGTTGGCACACAAAAAAAATATCACATAGATGCAAGGTTATATTTTGGTTTTTGTGGACTTATTTTAATTTTCTTCATCTTCGAACTGAATTTACATTTGAGCAATTGATAGTCTGTTCCATAGTCAGTCCCTGGCCTGTTTTCAACTGCTGATATTGAGCTTCTCCATCATGTCTTCCTATAGATTTAGTTGATTTGATTTCTGTATATTCCATTTTGAGAAGTCCATGTGTACAGTCACCTTTTGTGTTGTTAACAATTATTTGGTATGAATAAATCATTAGTCTTGCAAAATTCTATCATGCTTCTAGCTTCTCTTCTATCACCAAGACCTTATTTTCCAACTACTATTTCTTCCTCCTTGTTTCCAATTTTTGTATTCCAATCATCAATAATTGTCAAAGCATTTTGATTGCATATTTGATCAGTTTCAGTTAGAAGATATTTGTTGAATTCTTCAGTTTCTGAATCACTATTGTTGTTGGTGCATAAATTTAAATAGTTATATTGATTGGATTTCCTTGAAGGCTGATAGATGTAATGCTGTCAAAGACAACATGTATTTCAAGATTGATATTGAAATGTCCTCTTTGATGATGGCTGCAACACCATTCCTCATGATTCTGTCGTTCCCAGGGGAGTTAGCGCTATGATTTTCTGATTCAAAATGGTCCATGCTAGTCCATTCCAGTTCACTAGCACCTGATATATCTATCTGCATGCATTCCATTTCATTTTTGATGACTTTCAATTTTCCCAGATTCGTACTTTGTACATTCTAAGTTCTGATTATTAGTAAGTTTCTTTCAACTCTTTCTTCTCATTTTGATTTGTGCTTCATCAGTAAATGAAGGTCTCATAGGTTTGATCTTCATAAACTTAACTCTATCTAGGGCATTGTGGTTGACTTTACTTGGAGACGCTAGCTTCTCCTCACTCATGTTTTGAGTGCTTTCTGACCTGAGGGGCTCATCTTATAGCACTTTCTCTGAAAAAAACACCTGCTTCTATTCATTAGGCTTTCAGTATCTGACAACGATTCAAGGCCATGTGTAAGGTTTCCAGTTGCTATTTCCTCGGAAGGGGACAGCTGGTTTCGTTTTCGTCGTCTGCTCTTCGTCTGGAAGTGCTGTGACAACCTGCTCATTTTGGTGACGCTGCTGGTGTCTGAAATACAGGTGATGTAGATTTCAGCATCACACAAGCTACAGCAATCTGTCAAACCGACAGGTGGTGGGAGTATGGCTCGGGTGAGGTAAAATGTAGTCTTTAAAGTATCATCCTTCTCATCGACACGTTAAAGACGTCTTCTGCTGCAGATTTACCGAAGGCAATATGTTGTTTCTTCCATTTATTGCTGCCTCCTTGGTCATTTACTGTGGACCCAAGCAAGACACTATCCTTGAAAACTTCCTCCTAGTCTCCGTTTATTGTGATATTACCTAGTAAGCCAGTATGAAGAAGTTTGACTTCTTTACACTGCAACGTAATCCACACTGAAGGCTAAAATCCCTGATCTTTATCAACAAGTACTTCAGGTCCTCCTCACTGTCAGCAAGCAAGCCTGGGTCATCTGCATAGGGAAGCTTGTTAATAAAACTTACTCCAGTCCTGATGGCGCAGGCTTCCTCTTAGTGTCCCGTTTCTCCAATGATTTGCTCAGCATACAGATAGAATAAGTAT